TCGGTACCAGTAATACATCATTAAGCGTCACGGCGTGTCGGTTAATGTCCACACGCACATGGGTATACGCTGTATTCTGTTCCCCTGAGCCCATTGGATCCAAATACGCAAACAAATTCACAGGAGACATACCTGAATCTGGTCAAAGGGCACATCGAATGCGAATGATTCATTGTAGTACGGGTTCAAAGTGTACTTTTTGATTGTCGTCTTTTTCTTCTTGATACGTTTCCCACCAACCATGAGGGATAATTTCACATAAGGATCTGTGTTTGTATGTGCACGCGGGCAGGCAAGGTGAGGGAGGGATGGAGGGAGGGAGAGACGGGAAGAAAGGTGAACAAACATAAGGGAGATGTACGGGATCAATTCAGTTTGCAAAGTGATGACGAGCAGCGGATTTCAATGTGTGTGAGAGAGAGATTCGAACAATTACTTACCCTCTAACTGGAAACTAGCATTTTCAGGCCGAAATTGAACTATCGTCTTGGAAAGTTAGCTGCTATTGCGAGGCTTTGGATATACACTGCCTTAGGGCAGTGGGATTTTGAATATCAACAAGACCACAGAAAAGATCTGGGTATTCTCTAGGTATGATACAAATTGTCCGTTATCAGGACTCGAATTTCGATTGCATCCCAGAGCGATCTGAAATTCTTGGCTGATAATACTTCGTGAGGCACCAATTGCTAAGATACAACTCATCCTTGGTAGTGGTTGTGTCAAGCAAATAGGTAGTGAACAATAGATCCGTTTGTTGCTACCGGGTAGCACTTAGTTTCACAGTATTTCCCTTGGGTATTTAGGCTTTACTCAAGAATTGCAGTGTCGATATAATTTTTTTAGCTGCGTCGCGGCAAAGCATGTCCCAAGAAGCAGCCAGTCAGAAAATTCACAAATTGGGGTGCGATTCATTGTTGTCTTGATTGATCACAGTCCAGCAACGACGCGACACTTTAAGAGACAAGATAATTCCAATCGGAGCTGAAATGCGGGGTTCTTACGTGTTCGGGCAGATTGGTGGATCCATGACCTGTTTGTTTCCTCTGTTGCTGAGACTATCGGTGCACGACTTTGTGACCTGGCTGCTGAAATATGCCTGTGTGCCATTCGTAAAAAACAATAATATCCCGCCTAATAGTATAACGGGTGGAGGCTGAAGAACAATCGTCAAAGGCTAAATCAGCAGAGGAAAAATCACCCTTTTATTGAATAGTCGGTACATCAATCAGCTGTTCTCCATCTGATGGAGTGAAAACGTCATCGGATCTGAAACGCTTCATGTTTTGCCAAGATTTCAACCACAATTCCAGCCCCAAAGGTTGATTCAATATGTACTAGTTTCTCATGTATGTCTTGTTTTTCTACCGTAGTTCTATCATCTGAAAGGCAGTCGAGTTTCTGTGATGGCAAACTCGGTACTGTGGATCCAGTTGGTTGGGAAATAGTGATTCCCCCCAAAATATTTTTGCTTACTGATGAATTTCAGTCTGTCATGTTAAAATCATCTTGGTTATTGAGATAACTTTTACCCATCATATGAAATGACGAAATGAACTGAAATGGGATAACTGCGGTCGGTACATTAAACATTTTCGGTTTTATTATGTCTTCACCGATCGCAACGAGGTCGCTGGGTGGTGATAATGAGTAAGGAATTCGAAAGTGTGAGTTCTGAGATGGACACACATGTTGCATCATTACCGCCATTGTGTAATACAAGCAACTCCGTAGTGGAACTAATATAATGGTCAACAAATACCAAACAACCGTGCTTCCATTGTGATGGTTCCTAGCCCAATCCAACCAAACCTCATTGATTTTATGATTTTTATGGATGAGATAACAACAATTTTCTTGAGTCTACAGCAATGCACAGGCAAGTATTTGGCAAATGGCTGATGGTCCCAAAGACCTCTAACGCTGTACGTTGCGATTTGAGTCAGGTAACGATCTTGGGGCATTCAGATTTCTTTTAGTCCATTCGAGGTGTTCATTCGTCGCTAAGTTTGCACTGTATTTGTAGAGTATCGATTTATGCTTTTTTTATACAGTTACTGAATGTCATGGATTTGGTTGGAACTGTGAGTTGATCTAGCTATCGGTATGCGGGGAAAGCGGGAAGCTGGATCACGGTGGTGGTGGTGGTGGTGGTGGGGGCGTAGAATGATCTCATTCGGTACTGATCCACGCGAATTTATTCACAACTCGGGCACTCGTGCATTCAGGTCTGATATGTTCTGAAATCCCTGTGGTTGATATTCACACGCGAACGAATCCGCTAAGTGAGTTAGCGGGTAATGCGTTTTTTGTCCTATGATGTGAATTAGTTTATTGAATTGAACAGGGGTCTTCTCAGTGTCGGATTTGAAAGCACAACATTTTGTTAGTTTCAGTGTCCATTTCCTTTTATTTTATCCGCACCTATGTCCTTGTTAAAGATCATGAAAATTTCAGTAATCTAATGGATAAATCACGTTTGTAAGTATAATTGTGACCTTGAAATTATTCCATAGAAAAAGCCGAATTCATTCTGCACGACTGACAGGTACCAGTTAGGACCAGATGGACGAGGCTTAGAGAGACAAGTGACAGATTTTCAAACTGGTAAGGCAAACAGCTGCAGGCAATAAAAAATCTCGGAAGTGATACGGAACATTTAATCAAATCTATGAGGTTCTGGTTCGAAACCAGTTGGAGTTGTCGAGTATAGACTCACGGAGTGTGCTATGACTTGAAAGTCAATGTACTATCGACTATCCATGGATGGTGGTGGCGCATTTGTTTAGTCACTGTCACCGGTGCGCTTTTAACCCTATTGTTCGAGGTTCGAGCCCCGCCACTGCCACCCGAATTTGGTGGTAGGCAGCTCTGTTGTCGTCCGGTTCAATGCCACGCCTAACCTATCGGGGCCTTATGGGGTTCGCCACTTCAATCCCCGGGGCTTGGGTTGCCGGTCTGCACCACTGAACAGCAGGGGGTTCGCCCCGTTTGCAGTTCAACACACTTACGTGTGTAATAAAAAAGTAAACCAAAGAAAGTTTGAACTTTGAGCTTGGTAGGCTCGTTTAAATTGCTTGGTCATCATGGACTATTCTCCATCAGTCCATGTGTCAGTTGGTTTACCTGAGAATTACAACCACCGCATCACAACCTGATATAAAATATCAAACCAACGATTAAATGTTGCCTGGAAAGCTCAAGTTTGTCCAGAAATCAGTGGCTGTCTAAGGATTGGCTTTTTGGCTTCTTTTTCGGAATTCAGGAGGCATTTCGCGAATGTCTAGGCAGGGCAATGATACTGTGTTAAACAGTAGAAATTGGTCCAGTTTGAATATAGTTCTCCAAACTATAAGCAAATATTCAACACGTAGTTTCGGGTATATGATTTCTGGAATTTCTATAAAAAATAAGTTCTTGTCTTGGATTCACTAGCATCAGAGTTCCAATTGGCCATGACCAGTAAGCCTCCACAAACCACGATGAAATTTGTAGTATACGTACAGTTTTACTGCGCAGAACAAGATTGCACGAAGAACTAAACACCTGAAATGGATAACTCAACGGCAGAGGTTTGTACAAGTGCATACTGCAGTTCAAGTGATCGTTAGATATTTGTCTGACACCGAAAGCCAGTGCAACCTCAAAACACAAATGAACACACTCTCTATAAGTTGCGTTGATGTATTTACCAGAATTGCTATCTAACGAACATCCAGTGACAGACGCATTGGCTTGTTATCAGCCAGTTTTGCACATGATCCAATACATTAAGCAGAATGCTACCCATTACGCTTGCATTCTGCCCGTGAAGTCCCGGGTTCGATCCCCAGTGGGGTCAATGGACTCGCACTGCTGATGAGACCCAACCAGTTCCAAACAGCTCTTCCGAGCTTTTAAGTTCACGCTTTGTTTGCTATATATATGATGAATTCCAATTTGAAATATAATTCAGTTTCTTAATCCCAGCTATTTGAGATAGACCCGATAGTGAACCGCTGGCTTTGAGTGGGAGGTATTCCGGTATGTTGAAGGTGGAGCAATGTCACATTGGGGTTTTACGCAATCCAACTCAGGAGTTCACTGTTCTATCAGAGTTAAGGGTTGCGGCCCTAAAGAACACCACCTTGTTTCATCCGCTTTGCGCGTTGCCTATCCTCGTAATAGAAACATGCCACGTCATCCAAAAGTATTGCATTGTTAGGACTAGTACGTCTGACCAATGATCATTTGAGTATAGCACCATGGACGTAAGTAAAGGTTTTATCACTCGTATATTGACATCTGTTGCGCAGCATTCGCTCTCTGTTTTGTGAAAGGATGAATTGAAACGAAAGTCCCATCAAAGATGAACATCTGTGGACGGGTGAACCCATTCCGGTTTAGCTTAAAAACAATGAGAGTGCAAATAAGACCCCTTGTGGGACTGCCTAGTTTCCTGTCACAGTCGTTTGAAACGAATCATGAATCATACTAATTCACATATTCAAGATCCTGTATAACGCAAGGCATTTCATGATTCCCAAATACGTCGAGATACTATCCATTCTGATTTAGCATTCCCAGATTGTGTGGACAACGGGGCGTGATTTATCCTTTTGGCATTATTTAGGCAAATAATGTATTCGGTTATTATCAGTAGTCACTGTGAGAATCTATCTCTGGTGTTCTCCAAGTTTGGTCAGAATTATCATCACTGAAAATGAAGTAAGTGTATAGCTAGGTGATCCAAGATTCATGGTTGGAATTTTCTTTAAATGCGGTATACTTTTCCCCCTTAGAATGAACTAACAATCACATTCCATTGGGAATTCCACACGTCACACGTCAACTGTTGGGCTGATTTCATTACAACGTGATTTGGAATAACCTCGATTCCAGTAAGGTCGTTTGACTGGGAATAGTTCAGTAGGCTCGGCGGGATTGGAACCCAAGTATGGACATCGTCTACTCTTTTGCACAGCGTAAGCTCCACCAGCTGAGTCACGTGACCATACCAATAGCGTTCACACTGCGTTACCCCATCCATCAACCCGTCAGCAAGCAATAGTCGTATGCGAGTGAATGAGTTAACGAGTGAGAAAGTGGGCAAGTGAGAACGAATGTCTGACTGTTTGTCCCCCGGGGGATGTTTTATCTTTGATCGTTGCTCAAATGATCGCTGCAGAAGAGAAGAAACGGACCAGGCGGTAATTGACCTCGGTCGGTCTGGTGTAGAAGCCGGTCGTGTGAGGTAGATCGATTAAACGACCACTAGAAGTTAATGTAAGCAAGGGGAGTTGTTGCATGGACAATCTCAGCCTGGGTCTGCGATGAGGTAGTGAGTGAAGTTTCATTCTCATTGCCCTTCGAATCACAGCGTGTTAAGTGAATCGAATTCAAATACCCGTAAACTTTTGCCAATCGATTGCACAGCCAACAAAACGCTCGCTATTCCACTTGTATAGGCAGGGAGAAATTACAATCGTTGAGTAGAATAACAACATCCAATATTAAGTTATATTTTTACTGATCACTAGAAATCAAATTTGCCTCACCGTGACCATCAGATAAACTATGGTGTAATCTATTTGAAAAGCAAAGGACAACACCATAGCAAGCATACGCAAACTGATCGTCATACATCTGATCACTGTATTTGTTTGAACACGTACACGATCGGTTTTTCCCGAATCGCTTATTACTAAAGGCAACCGTAAAATACGCTATAGTCAACTTATCTTTTTAGGTGATGAATGTTTGGATTAGCCCATACGGTTTTTCACAGGCACCAGGCACTGTTGGGTGTGGGCTTCACCCCTTGGTAGATCATTCATTCCAATGCGATGGAAATGTTTGTGATAAGCAACAAAGAGCACTGGAAAACTGTTTCGTCCTGTTTGAGACTCATCAAGGACACACAATATACGCACTGCTGACGAGTCCCAAACAGGTCGAAATGACTGCCCAGTGCTGTTTGTCGGTTATCACAAACATTTCCATCGCAGTTAATCTTTTTGTTTCAAGTAATTTGTGTTGACGGAATGTCGAGATTGAATTGTTCGAAGACTCATGGCCTGATCAACTAGCGTAGAGAAAGAGAGTAGAATAGAGTGTGCACCGTACAAAGGAGNCGAGTACCAATTTCACCGAAACCAATGATCTTTCTACATTAGCTTTCTCTTCAACATGGAAAACAAATGCACTTTCTCGTAGTCACTAGTTTTTCTATAGTTCGTGAAACACCACGTACCGAGATATTTCGTCTGCGCGTGGATCATTGAAATCAAGAGGAATATAACTGAGGAATCAACTGTAGTCATGACTATTCCTCACGCGGTGGGAAATTTTTCATGTTCGCGGCACAGTGATTTGGGACAAT